TAATAAGGTCAATAATAAAGTCAGTAATAAAGTCAATAATAAGGTCTATATTCAGGTCGATAATAACCTGCAAAACTCGAAGTGTTCACAGTTCGAGTGTCCTCAGTGTTCCATGTGCCGTATTGAAAGATAACTGTGCCTGTGCATCAAAGCGAGAATGGCGGTGACCTTGCAATCATAGTACCTTTCAGTTTTAACACCTTGAACAATTATTTCGTCTCTACCATTACTAAGTTAACACCGTTATCGCTTCGATGCACAGGCACTGTTACCTTTCAAGAAGGCGCAGGGAAATGTGAAGGTGTCTATTGATTTATAATGTAAAGAAGCATGAGCTTATAACTATATACAATGATATACAAAGAATATTACGATAAACACGCAGAACTAGTTCCCAGCCTCTGGTCGAAAGAGACGGCCAATTTCTTTGATAACATTAAGAGTAAACTCTTGGTATCTTTTCTCTGCTTCTGCTTGCTGCTGGAAGAGCTTGTGAAAAAGTTCCTCCTCACGCTTTCGCCTCTCTTCCATAAACTCCCTAACAATCGCCAAGAGTTTATCGTCTTCTGCTGCTTGCCTTGACACTTTAACGACCTTCACTGGACGTGGATTTTTGCGGAGTTTTTTCTTTTGCAAAGTATTCGTGTAAGGTTGCCCAGTTGAACTTCGTTTAAAAGTTTGAAGCTGGCTTGACACTGCAAACGAGCTTGGAATTCTCCTTGGTTCGGGGTTTGTTACGTTAAACTGAGTAACAATCCCGCTTGCTTGTGGGGAAGGTAACGGGACGTGGTTCACAGTAACGCTTGTGTTGGGATGAAAGGATGGTGTTGTAGAAAATGATAATACCGGCTTCGTCATATGTGTGCCCACCAAGGTGCCCACCGTTGAATTCTGCTCATGAATAGCCGTTGTGTTTTCTGGTACGGAATCTGCAGAGACCGGAACTGCGATTGCTGCAGTTGCTATTGTTACGTCCCCTGAGGTGGGCTGCTCTGTTGCTTCCTCCGGGAGATCAAGATGTACGATCTCGTCTGCCTTGAATTCTTCCCTACTGTACTGCTCATTGGCCTGATGGGATCTCCCTTGTTTGGAGTTTCCAATGATTTGATCAATAGTTTCAAAGAAAGGGAACAACTGGCGACTGTTGTGCCCAGAATACTGTCCTTTCATTCTCTTATAATCTGCAATTATGTTCTTGATTCTTATCTTGCACTGTGCACCCATCCGCGGACCCAGTCCTATTATCCCGGACGTCTCACATCTTTTGTTAAACTCCCTAGCGATGATCTCCCAATCTTTAAAGTTACGCTTCTTGAATCGGAGCGAGGAATAACGCTTTCCCCAAACTTCTAGGAGATGACGAGTCTCAACATCTGTCCATCTTGACGAGTTGGTGACTCCCGCAGTGCGAACTTGTTTATTTCTTTGTCCAACGTTTCGTTCATCCACACCCAACAACAACTGCAGTTGCAAGAATGATTATAAACACAGAGGTTAGACTAAGGTTCAACGTCGAACTTAACGTAAGCCGTACGCATTGAAAACAATGGATAATAAGGCAGCCTTATGTTTGATTACCATGTTAGTTACCATGCAGCGTTTATTGTTGTTATTTATTTATAAAGAACTTTAACTACGCACCCTTTCCAGTTTTACATACACTTCATGCTTACCTGTGAATTACGAGGTGCTTGCATCTCTACCTGTACCATATCACTGGGAACCCTGTGCATCTCTACCTGTACCATATCACTGGGAACCCTGTGGATAAACGAAAAGGCAATCAAAAAATGTTTAGAACAGTTAGGAATATCGTTTGAAATAGTCATTTCAGATTGAAAGTGAAGTGCTGCGGATTGATTTGTCCTTTTCACAGCAAGAATATAAGTTTGTTATATCTTCAATAGTAAAATGTTTATATAATAATAAATGAAATTATAATTGGAATAAAACAATTTAAGTTAAAGATTTCCATAGATTTATCTTTCTCGTGAGAGAAAACAGTAAATTATGTCGTTTTACAGCCCACAACTATTAATTTTTCTATTTTTCATGGGCTAATTATATTGATATCGTAAAATAGATGACTATAAAGCAATGGTTTCAATTCAATATATTTTTGGGAGGGGAGGGGAGGGATGAGGATAGTCTTGCGTGAAGTGTTTGAAAACATTTCGTCTTAATGATTTTCATATGCTTACCACTAAATTTCAGGAGCATTGGTTGAATAGCAACAGAGATATGATATGGCCGTTTGAATATATAATTTCCCATACAAATCTCTGTATTTTTGCCCTGGTTCTTTAAGTAAGGAATAAAAAATATTCTGAGCGTTTGCTGGCTATCCTACTTCTCTTCGTGGATTGATACGGGTTTTAGAACAATTTTTGGTRAATTTGCGTCGACGACCCCCTCCGACGACCATGATCCTTTGCGTTTAAACAATAGATTGTTTTGATGTGATGTCATAGTGAAATAGGGCAATTGAAATATATTTTTAACCTCCCACAAATTACGCCACACCTTCAACGACGGAATAAACGATCGGTACCTTGGAGCATAGCGAAAATAACCCAAATGTTCGCGGTTCGAATGTCCTAAAGTATTGTATAAAACATTGACATAGAGAGTATCCTTATATTTATAGGTGAGACTATTTTTAAGGAAAAAAATAGCGCCAGTTTTATAGCTCTCAATGGAAGCTTCAAAAAACAATATTAGCAACCTGAATATTATTTTTAAATCATTCTGTGGTTGCTATAAATATTGTGGGAGAATACGTGACCAACTAACTGATATTGTGTTACAACGCTTGAGCGAAACCGAATCTTCTATTCATCTTTTGAGTTTCGTGTTCTAAACCTTTTCTTTCTTCATTTCTCGAACACAGAAAGCTTTTTGTAGTAAGAAAATTAAGTATTTATGAAACACGAATTAAAATTATTCATTTTGTACGTGTTAAATTTGCAAGGAGAGTTTTCTGGTCCATTACGTGTTCGAATTCGATTTGATCCAAGTCAACTTGAGAACTGTCTGAATTTATAATAACTATAAAGTCAGATCGTTCAAAGAATATATCCCATCCGCTTCAAAATACATAGATATATTAGCGCTTGAACTCTTTATTTTTACTGTATTTGATATCAAAGAGATGGAGGTATCAGAAGTTGTGAATAAAGTTCAAAAATAACAAACACGTTTCGTGCTCTTCCTCTCAGTCTTCGATAAATTATTTTTTTCCTTGTTGACTTCTTCATGTCGACATGTTATGACATTTAATAAGACTCGTAATAAACCTTTATGGTTTATAGTTTTTAGTATAACTTTTTTCTATATTTATAATAATATAAATAGTATTTTTTCCTTACATTACTCCTCTAAGTTCACTCACACGTCGATCTTGTTTCATAGACGTAGCCATCTTGCTTGATTTGATCCAGCCGTAAATTGTTCGATCGACTTAGAATCTCGAGCTTATTTATCTTGTTCCGTGATATAGAACGACTCAAAATCTAAACATATGGATAACACTGCTGATGGGAATAAGTTAGTTCGATCAGGGACTTCAACCGTGATTGTTATGTAGTGTAGTTTAGTTTTTATCGTGTACTCGTTCGACGTCGTCGGCACTTCGTGTTTGATCTGGTCGAAAAACAATAGCTACATTGTTGGACTGACGCGGACTTAATTTGCATGGTTATGAAGTGGATTGGGTTACTGGCGGGCAATGAGAAAACACTCGCCCAATAATAATGATAATTACGATATAAGAAATCCAAATAAGCTATAAATATGATATTAAAATAAAGAATAAAGAATCTAACTACAGCCCGCAGTAATRAAAGGAATTTACACGTCAACAAACAATTGAAACACTTACAAATTTCACAGGTTGTAGGTAATTTCTAAAGAATATATTAMACGCTGACGAAGCTGAGGTTGAGTAACGGGATCCGTGAAATGGTCTATTTTAACGCTGCTTTTTCACGGTACCGGATGAATTTTTTGATATTTCCATATTAAACCGTTCAGTTATTGTGCCTCTTTGTTAGTCCATGGAATAACAAGCTGCAATCTTCATGATCTTCTTAACCTTCACCATTGTCACGATCATTAGTAGTCGTAACCATCACCTTCAGTTTCATCATTAAGGCTTTGAAATAGTTTTCTTTTCRCTTACTGTCATTTTTGATCATAGAAAGTTGCTCTAATGCTCTAATCGAAGAGGCTCATCATTTCAGAGTTCTGGGACAAGAACAGGTAAGCCGGTATTGCCTAGCTCTGTTGATGATTATTTTTTGTATTATTTGCCGTGCGATACAATACAATACAATACAATACAATTTTATTTGGCACCTTATACTAATAGTACATGAGTGTTTGATTCCAAATATATTATAGGTATATATATATACTATGTATTAGGTAATTTTCTTAATTCATTTTCACGTATCAGCATACACTGATGAATGTATGCTGATATGGCTCTTTGTAGAGACGCTGATTTTGAATTGATTAAGAACATAAAACGACTGTCAGCGCTCATATTGTTGAAATTAA